AGGGAGGAGGGGTGGGTCTGAGCAGGGCAGGAGGGATGGGAGGGGCCTGGCACAGTGTAGGGGTGGGGGTGGGTCTGAGCAGGGCAGGAGGGATGGGAGGGGCCTGGCACAGTGTAGGGGGTACGGGTGGGTCTGAGCAAGGCAGGAGGAATGGGAGTGGCTTGGCGGGGTGTGAGCTGGGTTCTCTCACCCCCAGAATCGGATGGTGCTGAGTTTGAAGAGGATCCGCTGCTGCAGCTGCTGCGGGGCCAGCGGGAAAATCTGCGCAGCCAGCTCTGGTAACTAACCTGGCATGACACTAGGGGTGCTGTGGGGCATGGGCTGGGTGCGGGCAGGGTAGCTGGCAGACTCAAGCTGTGCCCATGGGCAGACTCAGACAAACATGCCCTCTTGCATCTCCGGGCCAGCTGGGCTGTCTCCAGGGGTATTATATGCAGCTGTTGCCCAGCTGCCCTGCCCAGAGCTGGTTGCACCTCCGCATCAGCTGAGCTGTCTCCATGGGGAGTTACATGGGGCAGTCGCCCAGCTGGCTTGCCCAGCACACAGAGCTGTCTGGGCATGCTCAGTGCTAATTTGTGCTCTCTCACCCTCCAGGGCTGTCGACATCGCAGTGTCCCAGCTGGTATCTCAGCCGCCCAGACATCCCTGCTGAGGGGCTCTGGGTCTCCCGGCTCTGCTCTGTCTAGAGTTGGCCTTGGGGGCCAGTAACAGCATCCTGAACCAAGGCAACAAGCTGGGAGCCCACGTGCCCCTACCTTGGGGCAGAGCCAGCCCAGAGCCAGGGGCGGGCAAATTGGCCAGCTCCCCTCAGGCCAGATAAGCTGCCTAGCAGCACCTGCACCTCTGCCACGCCCCTTGGGGAGGGTCACTGTTAGGGGTTCAGGCTGAATGCTCTGTGGCCCAGCAGCAGGCTCTGTGGGGAGCAGGGTGGAAGCAGAGGCTGTGGGGTGAGCTGGCCCACTGGCTGGCTGAGTGGGGGAGCGTCCGGCCCGACAGGGGGGTGCTGAGCACCTGGCCCAGCAGGGTCACTGGAGAACAGGCACGGAGGGTGGCAGTTCCCTGGCCAGCAGGTGACGGTTTTGCTGTGTGCTGAGAGGAAAGCTAATAAAAGCGGGTTTGCTGCTGGCCAGGCTGGGCTCGCTGCTGCCAGTTCTGTGATATGATGCGGGGGCCTAGCGGGTGGGTTCTGGAGGGCAGGGAAAGGGGTCTGGGGCCTTTCCCCTTTAGGCATTTTGCCCCCTGAAGAGCTCGTGCTCCCTACTGTGAAAGCCCCATGCCTCACCCTGTCCTGCCCCCAGGTGAGGCAGCCTGGTGCCCTATCCAGACCCCGCAGCCTACCCCACTCTGGCTCTCCCTGGCCTGGAGCCAGCGCCCATGTCAGGCTGGTGAGTGCCAGCTCCTGGCTCCCTCAGCCCCTCATAATCAGCCCTTTGTGTGACCAGTGCTCAATGGACGTCTGTGTGCTGCCCACCCCACAGGACACTGCAGAGCCAGGGGCCCCACTTCCTGTCCCCTGCCCATGGCAACCGCATCCTGCCAGGGCCGTGCTGCTGGGGGAACTGGCTAGTGGGCAACACTGACCTCTGCTGGGGAGCAGCCTGTGTACCTGTGCACCCACCTCACTGTGTCCTGTACCCTGTCCCTCTGGCAGGAGAGGGGGATTCTCTGCTGCCCCAGTCCAGCAGAGTGAGCCCTGCCCCCAACACTCTGGGCTGGGCCTGGCTCAGCCCTTGATCAGGAAGTGAGTGAGCGTGAGCTGGAGGCTAAATTAGGCTTCCAGTGCTTCACCCCAGTGGCCTGCAAACAGGAAATAGGAGCCAGCAACACTGGGGAGGAAGTGGGGGCAATTCCCAGCCCCACGGCTTCCAGCCTTCCTCCCCCTGCTCTGCCAGTGACCACAATCCCATCCCACAGCCCCCTGCCATCTGAGCCTCCTTCCCCCTGCTTGCCAGTGCCCCCAATCTTGTCCCACAGCCCCGTTATTCCACACTCCCTCCCCTACCAGTGCTCCCAATCTCATCCCATAGCCCTTTGTTATTCCAGCCTCCTTCCCCCTGCCTGCAAGTGCCCCCTATCTTGTCACAGCTCCCTGATGTCCTAGCCTCCCTCCCCCACTCCATGCAAGTGCCCCCAATCCTGTCCCACAGCCCCGTTATCCCAGACTGCCTCCCCCACCAGTGCCCCCATCTCATCCCACAGCCCCGTTATTCCACACTCCCTCCCCTACCAGTGCTCCCAATCTCATCCCATAGCCCTTTGTTATTCCAGCCTCCTTCCCCCTGCCTGCAAGTGCCCCCTATCTTGTCACAGCTCCCTGATGTCCTAGCCTCCCTCCCCCACTCCATGCAAGTGCCCCCAATCCTGTCCCACAGCCCCGTTATCCCAGACTGCCTCCCCCACCAGTGCCCCCATCTCATCCCACAGCCCCGTTATTCCACACTCCCTCCCCTACCAGTGCTCCCAATCTCATCCCATAGCCCTTTGTTATTCCAGCCTCCTTCCCCCTGCCTGCAAGTGCCCCCTATCTTGTCACAGCTCCCTGATGTCCTAGCCTCCCTCCCCCACTCCATGCAAGTGCCCCCAATCCTGTCCCACAGCCCCGTTATCCCAGACTGCCTCCCCCAGCAGTGCCCCCATCTCATCCCACAGCCCCGTTATTCCACACTCTCTCCCCCACCAGTGCCCCCATCTCATCCCATAGCCCCGTTATTCCACACTCCCTCCCCTACCAGTGCTCCCAATCTCATCCCATAGCCCTTTGTTATTCCAGCCTCCTTTCCCCCCACCCTACCAGTGCCCCCAATCTCATCCCACAGCCTCGTTATCCCAGACTCCCTCCCCTGCCAATTCCCCCAATCCCATCCCATAGCCCTCTGTTATCCCAGACACCTTCCCCTGCATGCTGCCAATGCTTCCATCCCAACCCGCAGTCTTCTGTTTTCCCAGCCTGCCTTCTCTGCCAGTGCCTCCCAACTCATAGCCCCTTGCCACCCCAGACTCTCCCCACCAGCCCTGCCAGTGCCCCCCAATCCTGACGTGCAGTCCCCATTGGTGTTCTAACTGGCCCCAGGGCGGCTCAGGGCCATTGTGCTGGCACTAGAGATGTAAGCAATTGGTCCACTACCCAATAAGTCTAGGCTTAGCAGGTAATTGAGTCACTACGCGACTGGTCGGTTCCCTCCCACTTGCTGTATCAGAGGCAGCAAGGGGGAGGAGCAGGAGCTGGCTTAAAAGCCCACAGCACCATCTCTGGGGGCAGAGGCGCAGCAGAGAAGGGGCGTGAGCAGGGTGCCAGACGCTGTGGCTCTGCTTTTGAAATGCAGTAAGAGCCTGGCGGTTCTTCCCTTTCTGAAGCAGAGCTACAGTGAGCCCCTTATGGACGGATTGAGGAGTCCACAGCCATTCCATCACCTACTTGCTTCGCTTCCCAACCACTATTGAACATCCCCAGCTGGTGCTGCCATTGCCTGCAGCATGTAGGGTGTCTGGGGCGGCTCCCTGCAGGCAGCCCGGGAGGAACCCATCAGCAGCTCGACTTCCCCTTTTCGCAGCACGAAAATGTGGGCTAGCCTGTGGGTTCCAACTTCCTGCACAGGGCGGACTGAGGCAGCTCAGAGTCATAGCTCGCCAGAGCCCTCAGGCCCCATGCTGGAGCCCCCGGCACTCCTGGACACGGGCGCTGAGCCCCCACAGGTAGGGGGGCTGCACTGCTTGGGCCTGGGGGATCTCACTGGGGGCCTGGGTCCCATATGCTGGGCAGCGCCAACTGCAGAGTCCCCAGGGGGCGGAAACACCACCTGAGTCCAAGGGATCCTGACGCAATTGTTCAAAGGGGTCCCTCCCTCGCCGTCGCTTCCTGGCTGCTCCCCGCTTGTCTGGGCTGTCACCTGCACCCCTTTGCGCTGTCTGCCCCGGGGCTGTGCCTGCCTGGCCTCCTGCCCCTTCACCTCCCCTTTGGCCCCTTGCTCTGGGGCTCTGCCTGCCATCTGGCCAGCCTTCTGCCCCTCTCTACACAACCTTTTGCACCCCTCCAGCCAACCCTCCCCCACGTCCCTCCATTCATTCTGCCACCCACTCCTTCCCCATGTACCCCTCCGCCCACCTATCCATCCATCCTACCCCTCTGTAGAGCCCCTCCATCTCTGGGGGGGAGGGAATTGGCCCCAAGGTCTGCAAAGGGAATCGCTGCACTTATAGTGCCCAGGGACAACCCAGGAGCTCCTAGGTCTCCTCCTGAGACCCAGCACTCCCCTTGTTAGGCCCCAGCGGGGGGGAGATGAGATGTGACCTGCTGGGGCACATGGGTTTGTCCAGAACAAATCTGGACCCTGAACCCCTCCTCTGACAGGGCCCCAGCCTCGGGGGGTGGGGGTGGAAATCAGACAGGAGCGATCTCCCCTTCAGTGAGGCTGCTGGAGGGCTCCTGGGGCCGTGCAGCCTGAGGTGTGTGCTGGGGACTGGGGCCCATGCCCAGGGGCAATGTGGGTGGCGGCAGTAAGTGGGAGGATCAGGCCTGGCTCTGGGTTCGGGGCCAAGGGCAGAGTGAGCAGGCGTGAGGCGTCTGGCCTGCACTAGCCGGGTGGGGCACCAGCGCTTTGGGGGGCAGGGTTTGGAACCCGAGTGGCCTGAGCAAACCCACAAAGCAGCCAGGGAGACACCAGCGGAAGTTCAGAGAGACCAAGTGCAAAGTGCCTGGTTAATGGCTGATGGCCACTTGCTGCTGCTGCGCCAACCAGCGTGCTTGCCATGACAGCGTAGGTACCCGCCTCCACTCCAGGGGCAGCGATGGGTGGCCAGGCGCTGTTTGCATCAGGTGGGTGCAGCTGCCCACTGATCTACCCTGCCCCTTACATGTCCCCCCATCTTCCCACTGCTCCACCCTGTCCTGTGAACCGATCTACCCTCCCCATTCCCCCCCCCTCCATTCCTCTCCCCCATTTGTCCATGCCCCCAGCCAGGGGTCTGTCCAGCCCCCACCCCAGCTGCCTGCCTGGCAGCTCTGGGTCCTGCTGCAGTTTCTTGGTTCCCTAGCCTACTGCTGTCACGGCAGGGGTCTGTCCAGCCCCCACCCCAGCTGCCTGCCTGGCAGCTCTGGGTCCTGCTGCAGTTTCTTGGTTCCCTAGACCACTGCTGTCACGGTGTGGGAGGGAGGGTGAGCCCTGCAAACCCCTCCCCCCCATCCATGCTGGGGAGGAGCAGGGTTCCCTGTAAGCTGAGCACTTGTGTGGCAACTCAGGAGAGATTCCAATACTGTGCAGCCCAGCAGAGTGCCCCCAGCTAGGTCTGTGTGGTGCACAGTCACACAATGCCTTGGTGCATATAACAACATTTGTTCCACAGATGAAAAAAATCTGCACGTGGATGGAAAAGACTAGAGGGAATATTGGAGGGAGCCCAGCTCTGTGTGCTGCTCCCTGCTGTGGGGACTGTGCCCCCGCCCCGTGGATCTGTCACTCGCTGGGCCCCAGCCCCTCCCCATGCAGGGATCCTTCCTCCCCCATCCTCCTGGGAAAGCCCCACCCCAGCTGGCAGCAGGCCCTGAGCAGGGGAAGTGTGTTTTGTGCTCTCCTTTCCCACCCTTCCCCCTCTGCCTCTCTTCCTTCTGCCCCCCCCCCCCCCGCCTTTTCA